CTAAAGTCTGATCAATTGTTTTCTTCATTGGTTCACAGGCTGCAGGAGTGCCATACCCAGCCAATGGGAGGCCATATACTTCAGGTATGAGAACCACCTCTCAGTCTGTCATCAAGCGGCAGAAAGTGAGCCAGGGAGAAGCTCCCAACCCTGTGGTGTTTGTTGCCACAAAGGACACCAGGTACATGGCAGCACAGCACTTCCTGATTTAGTAGATCATCAATGCCCCAACTTAACTAAAGTCAGCAGTCTTTAGCGCACAGACATGCACAGTCAGCAGGATCACACACAGATGGGTGTCATCAGAGTGGGTATTACTCACAGTGTTAGCTAATTGAAGCATTATTGTGTCAGAGTGGATGTGTGTTCTCATCACTGGTCTCTGTGAACCAGGGCTCTGAGGAAACATCTCACCCAGTCTGAGATGCGCCGGGCAGCAAGGAAACCTCACCTCCTGGTCCGGATCAAACTGCCGCCGCCGCCACGCTCCCTAGCCATGCCCATCGTCCCCTCCAACACCAGCGAGCCCATCGTCCTGGAGGACTGAAAATGAGGGCTGAGGGTGGTCTTTTAACAGGACATGGGGAGGGGCTGTGTTTAAGCCATCACTTATAGGCAGCACAGTACAGCATACAGTAGTCTTTTTTTTTTTCCTCCCCCATTTTCAGTGTCATGTTCCTTTAGTCCTCTTTTACTTCCCATAAGTTAATGTGTTTCTCTCTCTGTCACACACACACACACACTCAGTAAGCACACATTAAACCCTCAGGGCTCCAGCATACACGCTGAATTGGTCGCCAATGGTAACCCCGCCTCGGCTCCGTACCATTTAAACTTAGAGTGCAGTATTGTCCTGAGTGGTAGGCGTCGCCACTATCGGAGGAGGAGAACTCAAAACAGGAAGCAGATAATTTTTTAAAGTGTGCACTCGGAGGCTCTGAGCTGCTGTGCTCTGGTCATTACAATAGTGTTAAAATCCAACACACAGCAGCAACGGCACAACTGGCTGAAGTGACAGCAGAGCAGCATCTCGTACCAGCAGACGTCACATCGCTTTGTTGTAGAGCAGCAGCCAGCGTGATGGAGCCCTCACACTCACACTCGCCCTGCTTTTAAACGTGTCATTTTAAATTCATATATTTTTCTTCCTGGAGCAATGGTGATGAAGCAGACATCGTTTGACTTTCCCGTCTCTTATCTTTGTGTAAATATATGCATCACTGAAGGGGCGACACCCTTACAGGACTGTAGGACAGCTTGAGCAGGCCCAGGGTTTGCCTCGGTTTCAGGATTCCTCTCGAGCCTCCTTTCCTCCATCCTAGCAGAGCAGAATCATCGGGTGGGCTGTGGTGATGGAGGGAAATGTGGTGTTAGTCTGCTGCGTGGTGTAACTCTTTCCGTGGCTGCAGTCTGTTCAACACACTTGACTTTACGTTCAGTTCTCTCATTTTAGGAACAAACCTCAGAGGTGTGCACACCTGTCCACCCACTGAAACAGAGTGTAAATGTCACAGGGTCGGACCTAGACTTTACAAAGACGCAGAATCGGAGCCTCATACAAACCTGTTTCCTTCTATTATTGAACCCTCGGTGTCAAAATAAGAGTTTGAGCTGATTGGAAGCACTAACTGAAAACACTGAAGGCTTCGTCTGCAGTTGTTTTTGGTTTAGTTTGTTCCCCTCAGTGCGTCTCTGCACAGAGCAAATGCTAAATCACTACTCTGGGCAGCAGCCAATCAGGTTTCTTTGAAATAGGCTTTTATTCCAACAGCCACTCTGTGCTTTGCTTGCTGTAAATTGTTAGTAGATACAGAAGGAGAGGTGCATGACAGCCGACAACAGAGGCTGCTTACTCACGACTGAGTTATCATGAATTTGGCTTTGAGATCATGTGTGGGATTTCTGCAGAAGTCCAAAATGAAGCCATAATGTGCAGGAGAACAGGCAGCGACAGTCTGAAGGTCAGTTCATAAATGTGGGTCGAATCAAGCAGAAAATGTATGCAAAAACACGGGAACACACCATGCAGACCTTTGACCCTTTTGTCTTCATGCAGCCTTCTTCCTGTTCTGTACATGTGCTGATGTTTTGGTTCTGACGGGATGTGAGGACTGTGCGGAGGAATCTTCTGCTGTTTGTGGGTTCTCTTTGTTTCCCTCCCTCTCTTTGTACCTTTATCGGAGGGAGAGTGCTGAAACCGAGCTGTACGGCAGTGATGACTTTTTTAAGCAGATTCGGTCCCGATGTGAGCTTTGTAATATTTCCTCTCAAAAAAGAAATTGAATTGTCAAGTTTGTAGCAAATGCTAATGTGTGTAAAGGAAACTGCAGACGTGGAATATTGAAAACTTTTAGTTTTGGTTTGTTTGTTTTTAATTTTGTACATCTGAGGTGTGTAACTCTGTTAATGAGGAGACTGCGCTAACAGGCTACTGTACGTGTGAAGCATCTCTCCGTCAGCGGGTGGGTGGACTGCTTCTTTTAACCAGGACTGACCTTCAAAAGGGACAGGGTGTGGATTTTTTTTAATGATGGAGAGACAAACATGCCACAAGTGAAACTTTTTCTCAAGTGTTTTTTATTCCGATGTCTCTGTATCCTTTAATGTATCTTGATAAGAAAAAAAAATAAAGATTTTTTTTTTCTTCGTGGTCAGACATCTCTTTCACATCTGCTGCCTCACATCAAACAGCTGGAGCTTTTCACACTGTTGTCACGTTTCTTTTTTATCCAGTTTAGTCTGACAGGACCCCGCTGTGTGTTCTTGCTTCTGCTTCTCTGTGACATCATGGAGGTCATGACTGACTGCAAACTGGTCTAAGCAAAAATGTGACAAACATACGAAAAATAGGAAATCAGGACGGTGCAAACACATTTTCACACCACTGTAAATAAAAACCTCAAAGGTGCCATTTGGATATAAAGTGTCAATTTTAGCAATGACTTGAGTCACTCTTTCTTCATCAGGACCATAGATCTTTGGATCGTTGCACATTTTTGTAATTTCCCTTCTGTATATCACCACAGACGGTTTAAATTAAACTTGTGACTGAAGTGCAGACTTTCAGCTTTAATCGCTGATGGTCGCTCAGTAGGTTTTCTCGAAACCTTGTGAATGTGATCAGTTGAGAACGAGGGTTTCCACGGTGACACCTTGATCGGCAGCACTGGCTCAAAAGTAATTAGCTCATTGACAGGCAGTTTGCTGTTTAATAATAAATGCAACAGATTAAAGAGATGTTAATGCGATAGCCGACAGCTTTGGTAGTTAAACAGTCTTTTTACTCTTACAGAGAACGAACCCACAGGCCAGCTTAGCAACATCCCAAACACCCTGAAAGAAAACTGAAGGGGTGATCACAGAATTCTTTCTTTGGTTAAGGAAAAAGCAGATTGCCAGGAACCTCGATCTGACTGAACCTGATGGTAGAAACGATGCGACTCGTGTTCTCGCTGCCTCGGGGGCTGGGGAGGTTGCAGTCTCTTCTGTTCTGCTATGATTTCTGCACCATTGTTACAAAAAAGCCTGAAGTTGATATAAGAAAGCACGAAAGCTGAACTTCAGTGGGACCTTTAAACAGGCCAGTGCAGAGTAGAAGACAGAGTTCTGCACATGTGAGCTGAAGCAAAGATGGGTTATTTCTGCTAAACAAGGCAATACTGCAAAACACATTCATTTAACCTATAAATAATAATAATAATACATTTTTTGAGGGCGCCTTTCAAGAACCCAAGGTCACCTTACAAAGAACAAAATTAATAAAATGAGCAATAGTCATAAAATAAGTTAAAATTGCAAAACAGAACTTGACAACAGATAAAATCAGCTTTCTTATGGCTGGAGGAAGAGAGTTGCAGAGCCGGGAGCAGAGGGACTGACGGCTCTGTGACCCACAGTGAGAAGACGTCAGGAACAGTGAGATGAATAGCAGATGAGGATCTGAAAGGGCGGGAAACATCAATCATCAATTTGCATATTCTGGACATTTTAATGACCCTTAATTACTTTTGTTTTTTTCTTTTCCCCCGTTTCCGGTTTTTCCGAAAAACTTGTTGGTTTTTGGGGGGGCCTTTGGGGCCAATTTAGGAAAAGGATTTTTTTCATTTTTGGGTTTAAGTTTGAATTTTGACCTTTAACTTCCAATTGTTTTTTGGGGTTGGCGTTTTGGAATTTTTTTTGTTGCTGCGCCGGAGGGCCCCGTTAAGGCGGTTGTTTGCACCACTTTGTTGGACCTTTCGGGGCGGCTTGTTGCGGCCCTTGAGGGTTTTGGGCTTCATCGGGAGTAAAGCTGGCTCCGGCCCTTTTTGTTGGCAGACCACTCCAGCTTGTGATCCAGATGAACTCCCAGATACTTGTAGGACGTGACTATTTCGACATCAGTCCCACCAATGCAGACAGGGGACAGTCGGGGTCTGTTTCTGCCAAAGTCCACCACCAGCTCCTTTGTTTTGGCCACAGTCAGCTGCAGGTGGTTCACCTCACATCACCTCAGTGATCAATCAGTCCTCTGTACTCCTTTTCTCTTCCCATCTCCACGCTTCCAATAATGGGCGTGTCATCAGAGGATTCCTGGAGGAGACAAGTTTCTGTGACGTACTAGAAGCCTGCACAACTTTGACTTTTTTCAAGTATTGGTTTTCGGCATCACAGGGAAATAATGAGAGCCTTGGTTGGAGGGCACGGAGCAGGAAAACCTGCAGCAGACACCAGAACCATCACATAAACAAATACTCCCAGTGCAGAGTTTTAGATGTTCTGCAGTGTTTTCACTCAGATCAGCTCAGCCGCATGAAATATTTCACTAGTTTCACCAGAAACATTAGAGAATTTGTCAGTGCAAATATTAAGGAAAGGCGCTTTAATGCTTCCTTTATTGCTCCTTTAGCAAAGAGACAATGGACCATCCATTAATCCACAGTAATGGACCATGGCTGAAAACAGCAACATAACAAAGTGGAGCAGAAAGCTTAACTGCAACTGCATTTTCCATTTCATGCAATAACCTGCTGATGTAATTAAAGTTTTTAGCATCAAATGCACAGCTGAAGTCTGAACATCACACTGGTGGAATAAAAACTACTTCCTGTTTCGTTGTTGCTGCATGACAGCAAAATGTTGTATGATGTAAATCAGGGGTGTCAAACTTGTGGCCCACAGCAAAGCGCTCCCTGCAGACGTCATTGTGACGTAGAGCCGAGCGCACCTGAGCAGCGTTTGCGCTGAGGGGCGGGACGGTGAGCGGAGGTTTAAATGACAGCCGCACAGCGCGTGCTTCGGTGCTGGTGACCCAGGGACACAGCGGGCGCGTGGAGGCTCGTGGCCTTGTTGACGGTGCAGGTTTCATTGGTTTCTGTTCGTCAGACGCAGTTTCTCACCTCCCACAGCCTTACACGCAGCTCTGCACTTGCAGCCATGTTTAAGGTAACCGCAGCAGCTTTTAGCGCCTCCACATGTAGCTGCTCCTTGTCCTACACACATGCTTCAATTACCCACTTCAAGAAGTGAAGTGGGTAATTGAAGCATGTGTGTAGTTATCAGGATCGGGGGTCTACGGTTATTCCTGAAGGTCTGTGAACCAGCAGAGCTTTTATATCAGAGCGCTTTTTATCCCATGCTGAGAATAGTTCTGCGGGGATGTTGTGAAACTAGTTTGATTTTTCCAAACAAGTGGCTGCAGTGCGTGCTGGTCCATGACCTCGGTTGCTTTTCTTGTACTGGGGTCCTGCTGGTAGGACTAACTTAGCCACAGATCTAAGTTTGTTTTTTAATATATAAAAGTAACAATAATTGTGCCTCCTTAGCTGAATCCTGCTGATAGACTTAAACTGTAAGTTACATGAATTCAGACGATTTCATACTGCCACAAAGTTACTGTGAGCTTATTTAGCTCAGTGCTTCTGCAGTAATCGCGGTAACCAGCCTGAGGACGGTGAGGATCAGTCTATGCAGGTCAGACTTTAGGAAGTACCCCTCGTGTCTCTCTGACACATGGGGTCCAGCGTGTGCAGCCAGTTTTAAAGCATGACTCCGCTTAGATTGCAAAACAAATGTGAGTTGCGCTCAGTTGGCTGTCCTAAAGAAAAGTTTGTATCTGCTGCGTTTGAGTTTACTGTCCATCTGGTTGTAATTATGTGAGTGGAATAGCAAAGTTGAAGAGCTGACTGGCTCCTTATCAAAGCTAGTTATTCAGGTCATCTGGTCTGTGTCCTGTGGTCACTTTTGAAAGACTTCATGTATGCTGACCATGATGATGAGATTTGTCACTTTCACTTAAACTGCTGTCATGTCAGTGGAGAACCCGGTACATTGTATAGATATAAATATAGACTATCTGTTTTTAGAAATTGAATCCCATCATTTTAAGCAGACGTTGTAATTGCTTTCCAATATCAAGCACCTTGAGGTGACTCTTGTGATTTGGTGCTATACATTGAAAAATATCAGAAAGACTGGGCAGAACTCGATACACGTTTAAAATGCTGACTTCTTTCTTTACAGACCAGTAGCAAAGACTTGTTTCTGCCTTCACCCGAGCTACTGGACAGCATGCAGTCTGTGGAGGAGTCTGACGGTGACTGTTGTGGAAGCACCGTATCGTTGGCCGAAGCCCTGCTGCCTGTGACGGAGTCCTCGCCACCTCTAATCCCCTGGGTCTGCTCAACCCGCTACAAGACGGAGCTCTGCACCAGTTACTCAGATGATGGTTTCTGCAAGTATGCCGAGCGCTGCCAGTTTGCCCACGGCCTCCACGAACTCCACGTTCCCTCGCACCATCCAAAGTACAAGACCGAGTTGTGTCGCAGCTACCACTCAGATGGCTACTGCTACTATGGCAACCGTTGCCTGTTTGTCCACAGTCCCACAGAGCAACGCCCCGCCCTCCGTCGTCGCAGGAACGTCCCGTGCCGCACCTTCCGTGCCTTTGGGATTTGTCCCTTTGGAACCCGCTGTAACTTCCTGCATGTGGAGGGTAAAGATGAAGATGGCCGTCACGATTTGGCCAGTGTTGGTGAAAAGACGGCATTTGTGCAAAAGCCCAAGGGGTGGAAACCTCGAGGGGCTCTGTGCCGCACCTTCAGCACCTTTGGTTTCTGCCTGTACGGAACCCGCTGTCACTTCCAGCACGGCCTCCCTAACAGGATCAAAACCTCCGGTCAGCACAAAGGGTTGCTGTCCACATGCGCTTCACGTTTGCCTTCTGCATCAGACTCTTCAGCCTCATCATCTCCTCCACCCACCACCCCAGAAACACCAGCACACAATGCTTTCACCTTCTCCAGTCAGCACTTAAATGATCTGCTCCTGCCACTGGCCCTCCACCTGCAGAAGCTGGAGAGCACGAAGGCCCAGGATATCTGGGCCAACAGGATGCTCTAAACTGCTGCTGAACACTTTCTTTTTTCTTTTTTTAAATATGTAATTACCCCACTTTACCCCAAGGGTTTTTTTTTTGTATATATGTTCTAATAACTTGAGCTTGTTTCAGAAGGCCCAAGCAGGCCTTGGCAAACATGACTATTCAGTCATGGATCAGTCTGGAGTAGCTCTGGAAAGTCTTACAGGTGCAGCTATATGTGTAATATTTTTTAATTGTACATGGCTATGTGTCTGCCCAAAGCACTGTAAATAAACCATGTTTCTTTTTTACTAACTGCTGTGTTTGTGTGTTTGGCTGGGCTGGATTAAAGTTGTGGGGTGACTGACAGAAGTCCAGTAGCTGCCTCTTCAAGCACAAGCGAGGCTGGCGTTTGTCAGTCTTAATCAGCTGCTGCTGAAACAAGAGGCTCCTGAAACTGTCTTAAAACTCTGAAGCTTCCTTCTAATAAATAATGGGATGTTAGCTGCGACCATGCTCATGTGACCAAAGACCAGAGTCTTGAGCTGAAACTAAAAGTTGGCCTATGATCAGCTCTGGCTGGTGTACGTCCGGGTTTAATGTGGAGGCGATGTTGAAATGTTTATACTATACCTCAGTATAGGACATCTAAAAAGTATTTTAAAGAGACACGACCTTCAACCAACCAATCCAGTCTACTGATACTCGGCAACCAATCACTGGCCTTAACCTCCTGGAGTGTCAACAGGTAAACCTGGGAGGGTAAAGGTTAAATTAAATTTAAATCTTTTAAGGCTTTAGTTAAATTGCACCTCTGAGGTGTTTCGTCAGGACGATATTGTGAGAAAGTAAGCTGGACCTCGCTGTCTTATTTTGAAGGGCACAGCGGATGTCTTGGTCATGATTGCTAGCTTGATGTTATGGAGCGGCTAGTGTATCGGACAGCTACCCTGGTGTGAACTTTATTTCAGGCGCTAAAGACATTCAATCCCCCTTTGTTCCAGTTTAGAAGGTAAAGTCTAACGTTACATGATACTGGGAAGGCCTGGTGTTGTTTTCTGTCGTCCTTCTGATGCTAGCTTTTAGCATCATGGTATTTTAGCTAACGCGGAGTAACCCCGTTCGGTTAGTTGACATGTGTTTGTAAAGAGACATTTTATTCGTTACTGTAGTGTAATAGGTTTGTTATCGTGGTTTCTTTTAAAGTGCCGTGGTTTCTTCCAGCTAACTGAATAAAACAGAGTTTACTTTGTTAGCATGCTGAATGAGTGCGGTGGTTCGGAGAAACCACGGGCCACAGCTGAAAAAGGTCCCAAATACGTGACGAGAAAACGTTTTGGGAAGCACACATGTTTTAGCTAACCCTGTAGTGTGTACCCGAGGACGCATGTTTTGCTGTGAGATGTAGAGAAGACGTGAATGTAACGTGATCTTTCTTGCTAGTTTGAGTGATTTCGGTGAACATGGCGGACCGGGAGGAGCGCCGGTTCGCCGAGGTTTCCCGGGAGTCTGTCAGACTGATGGCGGAGGGCGCAGGTGTGGAGCTCGGTGATGATGTGGCGGCTCTGCTGGCCGAGGACGTGTGTTACCGACTCAGGGAGGCAACGCAGGTGAGTGATGCCTGGCTGCATAGATCATGTTCTGACTTTATAGAAAAATGGGAGAAGTTCGTGTTAGGTGTGCGTGGTAATGTTTTGCTGTGTCCCCAACAGAGCAGCTCTCAGTTTATGAGACACGCCAAGAGGAGGAAGCTGACGGTGGAGGACTTCAACAGAGCTCTGCGCTGGAGCAACGTGGAGGTAGCTTGTAATTTCCATATCCGATCTCCCTCAGGTGATATCATGTCTGATGTGACGGGAACTCCTTCATGTTTCTGTCTCTGTTCTTGACCAGGCCGTCTGCGGCTATGGAGCCCAGGATGCGCTGCCTTTCCGTTCAGTGAAAGAAGGCGAGCTCTTCTTTGTTGAGGATCGGGACGTCAATCTGGTCGAGCTGGCGCTGGCTACCAACATCCCCAAAGGCTGTGCTGAGACCATGGTGCGAGGTACGCTACGCCGCTACGTTCCACACGCAGGCTCATCCTGTAGTGTTCTCTATCTGTCATATTCACGTGATGAGTTTACTAATGTTTCATGTTTGCCTGCAGTCAATGTGTCATACCTGGATGGTAAAGGTAACCTGGAGCCTCAGGGTACAGGTGAGACACACACAGCAGGGATAACCTAACCCACAGTTGTTGTACTTGGACCTGTAGATAGAATAAAGTAGCTAATACTCTAAAAACTGAGCTCCACCTTTGACTGAGAGCATCATTGTTATCCTGTTAGAAAATCTCAGTGTTTGTCTGTGTCAAACTGTCCCAGTTCCTACTGCAGTACAGTCTCTGTCAGATGACTTGCTGAAGTACTACCAGCAGATCACAAGGGCCATCTTAGGAGAGGACCCGCATCTCATGAAGGTAAGCTGCTACAGACAGAGCAGACTTTTTGTTGTGAACGGGCTAAACGACGCTTGTGTGTGTTTCAGGTGGCTCTGCTGGACCTCCAGTCTAACTCCAAGATTGCAGCCCTGCTTCCGTACTTTGTTTATGTCATCAGTGGAGTAAGTTTTAGGGTTACACAAATCAGCATTTATGATTCTCATCACCAGTTTTGTTAGGAAT